TTAAGTAAATCAATCCAAGAAGTTTGTTGTTGAAATTGTTGAGCTAAAAATTTGAAAATATTTCTAATTTTTCTCATAATTATCGACAAAAACTAACGAGGGAATTCTTTAAATTCCTCTTTTGGTTTATTAATTTTTTGTTGTATCTCATCTTCAATTAATGCATGATTTGTAGACTCATTGCACATATTTAAAGGTATAAGGACATCTACAGGCACTAATCCATTTGAGACTGCATTATCACATAAACTTAAATTTTTTGATTAAAAATTCTATATTAGTAAATAACAGCTAATTAAATTTATTACAGAGGGGACGAAATGATAACCAAATTTAGGAAACCTATAGCCGTAAATGTTAGTTAGGTGATGTTATAAAGAGAATAATGGCACGACATTAAAAAATCCAAAAATCCTTATATTTCACCCGATTAAAAATTAATTTCATTTAAATTCTCCCATTCAAAACCAAGTAACAATAGATCAAAATAAGTAAAATTAATTAAATTTATTTAAAATTAATTTACCAAAATCCATCCTGTCGATGTTCTTTAACCAAAACCAAATCTCCTCGTTTCAAAACCATTTCTGAATTTTGCCAATCACGAGTAACTTTCCGTAATTGTCCAGACTGATTTTGGGTATGACAAATTTTGAAAAGTGCGTCTCTTTCTTTTTCACTTTGTTGTCGTAAACGAGAATTTAAGGAAGAAATGTGTTGCTGTTGTGATGATATTTTCTTTTGATTTGCTGATTTTGCACGGAATGAAAGACGTAAAGATTTTCCTAGAAAAATTAAAATTATTTAGTAGATATTAAAAATTTCACTTCTAGCCAAAAAAGGTGCATTTTCTGCAATTGTTTGACGCTGATACAAATATGCTGCAATTTTGTCCATTTCTAACAAAACATTTTTGACAGAAACAGATAAATTTGTAATAAATGGAGGAACTGTATGAGCATAATGACGAACTTTTTCAGGTCTTTCTTTGTAATACCATTCATCCATTTGAGTTAAAAATTGTTGATGAATTTCATTTACTTTTTGAACTAGTTGGAGTACTTGAGTATTTATTGTACTTATAACACTTGGAAGTTGTCCTTTTATTTGATTATTTAAAGCTTCGAATTCATTTCTGCATTTTTCAACTTCATCTTGCTTAAATTTAAATAAATTCAATTTTAAAAAATTAAAAACAAAAATCAGCGTAAATGGTCTAGATTTTTGGTTAATTAAGATTCACCTTTGGATAGACTAAAGGAAAACTTAATTTAGCAAAAATACGAGATGAAAAAAAATTTGCAACCCAAAGTAAAATTTCTACAAAAAATTTCTTAGGAAAAAATATTTGAAAAATATAACAAACTTACATTTTTATTGCTAGCTTTAACCACTTCAAAATCAGCCAATTTATCAAAACGTTTGTGTATTAATTTGGTTAGTTCACTTCTCACAAGTCTCTTTCCTTCAACCAAAATTCTAAAACATTTAATACTATTCTTTATTAAATTATTCAAAAAATATTTACTTTTGATCAAAATCTCTCAAATATTTTCCACAAATTTCATCAACCCTGCGAAGCATTTTTGCAAATTCTTTAACAACTTTTTCATCTTGGACTTGACAAAAACCTTTTTAAAAATAATTTTTACCATTAGATTAATAAATACCTTTATAACTGTCTTCATGTTTACGTGCAGCCAAAGCAATATGTTTTCTATAAAGTTGAGCACAATAAAGAAATTTACAAAGTCGACGTTCTGCATCTTCCAAAAGTTGAACCAAATAGTCAAATTCACTATCTCGAATAGTTCCAAAACCCATTGTTCGATTTATACGATATTTGAGCCGATTACTTTTCTTTAATAATGAATGCATGTTTATACGAGCAAGTCGTTCAGAAATGGTAAGTTGTTCTTGAGTATTGTATTTTCGAACTAAAAAATAAATATAATTTATTAAATCTTTTTCTTAAAAATTTTTTCTTAAGAAAACAATGTTAAGAACATAGACACCGAAAAAAAATTCCGCAACAGCGGAATGTGGACAAATTGCGTTGTTTTTTTCATGCAAAATTGAATTGCGGTTACGTAAAAAATTTTTGAATACAAAAGCCTAATTGAAAGACATGAATCAGGGGAGTGCACACGAAGAAAAAAATAAAACAAAGAATCTCCGTTCCTACTAAAATTAAAAATACTCTACCTAATTCTTTCCTTCGTTTAGATTCATTCATTCTAGAAGCCAAATCTCCCAATTGTCTCAAAGCCTCCATCAACTTTGGGTGATCAGGGTGATTTATCGGAGTATTTTTTAATAATTCCCCAATATAAAGAGGATATTTTAAACATCTTTGAATTGGTCTAGAAATAGCTGTAGAAACATCAAAAATATTTGAACCACGTTCTCTCATTTGTTGAACACATAATTGAAGTGCTCGATTAAAATTAGAATTATTTTCATTTTCTATCATTAAATTAATATTCTCCACACTTCGGAAATGTTTAGAAAATGTTGAGTAAAACTGGCTTTTTAATTCCATAAATTTTGAGCCCAAAGATTGAACATCGGCAGGTAAATCTAAAATGAATTGAGAGTAAAATAGATTTGACATTTTTTATTTCTTCTCGTAATTTTAGGTATCTGAGGAAGACAACAGAATTCTGATGTTAATTAATATTTTGAATGGACGAAAATATAAAATTGCCAACATATAATTAAATAGGGTAGTTGGCGACAGGTCATTAACCGGTACCCCCGGTTTTCGGTTAATCTAAATTTTAGAAACCCGATTTTTGGTTTTGAGTTTTATGCAAATACCGGTTTAATTTTGGGGGAATTTTAAATAAAATCACTCATTTTCACAAATTTCCGGTTTTTAAAATTCTCTAAAACGGTTAATTTTCGGCAAAAAATTTCAAAAATTCCGATTTCAAAACCGGTCGCCAACACCTCTAATAGTAACCTTTTTGTGAAGTTAAGGCGTTAATAATTGATTGACAAAGTTTTTCAAGTGCTGGATATTCTTTTGTTAAAGCCTCTTTTTCAGATTTTGTTAAATTACCAGATTCATTAACACACTAAATTGAAAATAAATTTAGACAATTAAAATTTCTTTACATTTTGCCATGTTTGTAAGTCAAAAAGATAAATTTGTTCAGTATTTAGAAAATCCAAAAGAACTTTTGATTTTGTATCAGATCCATTAATTGTCTCCAATTGAGGAATAAGTGGATTTGTGAAGGCATTGCCTGCTGGATTTATTAAACTTTGATATTGCTGTTCATCTTCTTTTATAGAAGTAAGCGATTTCCTACGATCATTTTGAATAAATTGAAAATTTAAGTTTGATACTTCATTAGCGCTTTCAGTAAAAGATGTTTGTCTAAGAATATAAAAGGGTTATGTAGGTTTGAAATAATAAATAGGAACAGAAGCCTTTCCTTTATAGAATTTTCCTAACCGTGCAATCTCAAAACAATTAAATTTTGGGAAGGATACAAACAGTGCCTAATAAATATTGAGGCCTAGTTTGTTTAAAAAAATAAAAAAAAATAAAATTACCGAAGTATGGGATTCGGAGGTGGTGGTCTAGGCGGCGGCAGACTAAAAACATTATTAAACACATTTGAATTGTTTATGGAAACATTTGAAGTCTCCCAGGGATTTGGCCAATCAGAAACATTCGAAGAAGCAAAATTGGAGATTGAAGAGATTGATGTAGAGGAATTCGATGGAGGTTGGTCATAAGAAGTAGCAATTGAATTAAAAGAATTTTCTTCATTTTTTGATGAAATTTGAGACAATTCTTTTGGACTTTCCAACCCATCGAGGAAAATATGTAAAAAAGATTGAGGAACAATTCCAGACTGGCCAGTAGTCGGATCTCTAAAAATTTATTGAAAAACTAGTCATTTCCGTCTTTTTTATTTCTTCCTAATTTGTCGGGTAAACCAAAAAAAAACAGTTTTGAAGGCAATTACAAAAGATAAACAAATTTTAAAATTTCTTTTGGTTTAAAGACCATGGAAAAAAATTAAGAAAAGACGGAAAACAAAGTTGAAAATATCAAAAAAATAAAATTAAAACTGACCGACACTTTGCCCATTCATTATCTATAATTGAGGAAACTTGAATACTATCACCAGCTTTAACATTTAATTCGTCCTCAAATCTGCCTTCAAAATCATACAGAACAGTAGCAACACTAGAAAATTTAAAAAAATTTGGTAAGAGTCCCTAACATACCCAATTGAATTAGAAAAACCTTCGGAGGATAAAATAGGGTCAGACTGACTTGATGAGAATTTTGATATCTAAAAAATATTAATAAAAATAATTAAATAAATTTTTGAAAAACCTCTTGTTCATTAGGAATTATTTCAACAAAACTAATTGGAAAAATGCCTTTCTGTCCAGTTTTTTGTGATTCTCCACTATACCATTCTTCGTTAATTTTCTTATCAATATAAATAAGTTCATTTGCAGTAAAGTTCAATTCACCAGGATATTCACTTCTGAAAAAAGATAGCTGAAAATTTTTATAAAATTTAAAATTATAAATTTAACCTGAAGTCATAAAGAGCTTTGCAATAAGGCCGGTCTTTATCCATACTTGAAAATAAATAAAGATTAAAATAAAACAAATACAACAATAAAAATAAAATTTAGAACAAAAGAACAGCTGAGCTGTTTTGACTAAATGAAATTCGACAAAATGATATAAAAATAAAATAAAATATACGAAATGTCAACATAAAAAATGCTATAACAATTGAATTGCGACAAAATGAAAACTCCATATAGACATCGGGAAATATTTGGGCTTTCTTTTAATTTTAAATCCATTCGACCTGGCTGGAGTTTGGGCCTTGAGTCTATAAAACTGAAAAAAATCAAACACTATACTTTCTTTACTAGCCTTGGCCATAGCGCTCTTTACCCGTAATTAAAGATCAAATTTTTATTCCTTTTCAGTAATATTCAAATTTTCCTTACATATGGAGGAAGAATTTATTGACAGTGCTTCGGATAACCAAGCACCGCTTCTCGAGATTGGTGACCAACCTTCTAGAGATTTTCTCGAATTATTTGCAAAATTGGATCCAACAATAAATGGAGAAATAATTGAAAAAGCTTGGAAACAATATGATACAATAAGTCAACAAATTATTTTAGAGGTTTTTTTAAAAATAATTTTATTCAAAAAAATAATTTTTAGGGAAGTTCTTCTGTTTGGATGGCTTGTGCTTTTTTTACTTCTGTTTGGAAATCTACTCCAATTGGCCATCAAGAATTAATTTGTCATTATTCTTTACTTAAACTTATTGAATTATGCAAAGTTAGTGTTCTCGATTTTTTTGATAAATTAAATAAATGGGCTGATATGATTTTGGCTACTCGACGTTTACTTGATTTTGTTAATCGTGTTCAATCAAATTTGGCTGTTTCCGCTGTTATTTTCAAAAAGTTTTTGCCAATTTTTCGTTATACTTTTGCTCAACAGAAGCCTTCGAGTTTGGAAAAACATTTAACGAGTGCAGAATTATTTGAATTTATTTGGCTTTTCTTTATTACTATGCGAAGTTTGTTTATTTTAAATTTTTTGAATTTGAAATTCTTTTTCAATTAGAAATTTAGCTTATTAATTTTTAAAATATTCGTGTACTTTATACACAAAATTTCGTCAGTATTTGTCAAATTTTGCCAAAAATCTAAACGAAATTACGAAAATTTGTAAATTTTTCTGACAATCTTTAAACTTACTATTAAATTGGTGATATTGAATCGAACAGACCCCTTTTTTCCTCCCCAATCTATATTTTTGCAAAATGGTCAGACTTTTCCTTTCCTCCGTCCAAATTGCCTTTCTAATTTTTGCCTACAATCAAACAAGGAGGGTTATTTAATTTTATAGAGAATTATTTGAGTACATGCCAAAAGCAAGTAAAAGTATTATAGGAAGAATATAGGGGAGAATTGGGGAAGAAAAAAGGATATCTGTCCTGTTCAATATTACCCATAAATTTTATATTATTAGAAAACTTCCTTTCTAATTGATTTTTTAGAACAATTACCAGCCAACAATGAAGACCTGATGAATTCTTATAATTTATTACTTTGTGTTGTTGATTATATTTACCATGCAATCTCAATTTCCCGATTAAAGAATCATTTAAATGCTGATTTTGGTTAGAAATTTAGCTCGTTAAATTTCAAACTATTATGATTTTCTAGACAAATCTAAATCTCCACTTGAAGTTCTTTGTGAAAAGTTTGAAGGCGCTTCTCTCGATACAAAACATTTAAGCACTCATTGGCTTAATCCAAAATTATTAAGACTTGTTATTGAAAATTTAATTCCTTTCGATATTGTTGAGGACAAATTTAATAATTTTACTGCTATAAGGTTTTTTATTTTTATTTTATTATCTTTTTTTTGTTGAAGAAAAGCTTTTGAACAACTTTATGAAAGGAAAATGTCTGCACGTTCTGAAGTTGATGAACGGATATTCTTGAAGCCCTTATTGACTTTTGGAGATATTATTTTCTCAGATAAATTTGAAGGTTTTTTTGAGAATTATCATTTTTTATTCTCCGTTTCCTCTTGATTTTTCAAGAGAATTCAATCTTTATCATTTATTTAGAGTTTATTTGGAATTTAAAAAATATTTAAAAATATCTCTTAAAATTTTCATTGTTTAGAAGAAGCCATTTCTGTTTTGTCTGGAGATCTTTGTCAATATATCAATAATGATTTTTTGATCAAATTCAGCTCACAAAATTGTTTAGCCAAATTGAATGCGCCTGAAAAAATTCAACCTCCAACTGAAGGAAAATCTTATATGATTACACCTGATGTATTTATTTTATTTTCAGAAAGTTTTTTTAAACTTTTATTTAGACTGTTTGTCAAAATAGTGCATTTTATTCTGATATGAAGCTAATTGAGAGGATGGATGAATTATTATCAATATTTAGAAGTCAAGGAAAATCTTTCAATTTTGATTTTGTTGATTGTCAAGGGAATCCACGAGAATATATAGCTGAACAAGGTTTTGTTTGAATATCCTGTTAGGTTAATTATAGACGGGGTTTCGTCATTTATAGATGGGTTTTCCGTTAAGAAATTGGAATCTGTTAATTTTTTAATATCCTTATCACCTCCAAATTTTATTTTCACAATTGTCAAACTGATGTTCTAAGGATGTTTTTGCATTTTTGTTTAAGGAAACTTAATTTTCCTCGAAAAAAGCCTGAATTTCTCATTCCACGATTTTTTCCTTAAAATATTATTTTTTAAGTACACATATTTGGACAGAAATTTCTTACAAAGTTTGGGAAGGACGAGAAGGAAAGCAATGAAGAAGGATCTTCAGATTATGCTTTGAATCAAATTCAATTGGAAAAATATGCTGCCGACGTATTTTATTAAATTTTACTTTTTAAATTTATTTTTTAGATTGAAACATTATTTTATTACCTTCTTCAAAAAATTTTAATTTATGATCAACAAAAAGCTTTGGCTATGGGGTTGGAAATGAATGTTGATTTAACGGTTAATTTCTTTAAAAGTTTTATTTAAAAAATTATTTTTTAAGGCAATATTACAAAGTTCAGAATTTCTTGTTTCAATTTATATTTGTGCTGCAGATTTAATTCTTTGGGTTAATGAGGACTCACGAACATTTCGATGGATAACAGAAATATTTACTGATAATGTTGCTCCTCTTGAATTTTATCGAATTTTTGAATTAATTGTTAGGGCAGATACTTCTTTTAGTAGAGAAATGGTTAAACATTTAAATCAGGTTAAATATTTAATTTTGTTAAATAGTAAAACTATAAAATATTAATGAAAGGGGCATATTGTTTCTTGAAATTTTTTATTCCTTTCCCTCCGCCTTATTGTTTAATATTTTTGCTTTGATTGACTTCATGATTCTTTGTCATTTTTTAAGCTTATTTTTTCATGGTGAAATTCTGAATTTAGCGACCCACCTCTTAAGAGGACCAGAGTTTAAAATATTTTAAGAATTTCTAGTTCCCTTCCAATTTTTATTTTACTAATTAAAAAATTATTAAGCTAGAGGAATGTGTTTTGGAAGAACTTGTTTGGACAACAGACTCGCCTCTATGGAGTGCTTTACAGAATAGTAGAATTGTTGAACAATTTGGAGAAAGTTCATCAGTTCCAAGCTCTCAAATACTTTCTAAATTTACTGGAAATTTACAACGAAATAAATCTGATTTAACTCCACAAATTATTAATTTTTTTAAAAAGGTTAATTTATTTACATAGGAAATCTTAAATTACTTGGTCAATAAAGAACTTCTGTTTCATAAAATGTTAAGAATCCTTTAAATAAAATTTTTTTCTAGGTTTACCATTTATCTGCAATTCGTCTAACAGATTTGTTTGAACGTTTACGTATTAGTGATGAATTAACCAAACGAAAAATTTGGACACTTTTTGAGCACGTTTTTCGTTCAAAAATTATTTTATTGAAAAATAGACATTTGGATCAAATATTGATGTGTTGTGTTTATATTATAACAAAAGTTTGTTCTCTCAAAATAACATTTCAGGATATAATGTAAATTAAAATTTGTAAAATTTAATTTAAAAAAGAGTTTATTTTTTAAAGATTTCATTATCGCCATCAACCACAAGCTTCGAGTAATGTTTATCGAAATGTACTTATGCGAATGGATTTTATTGACAAAAAAGAAGATAATTCTCCTGAAACTGAACGTGAGGATTTGATTAGGTTAGTTAAAGAAATTTTTTAAAATTTTCTTTAAAAATTGAAAATATTGGGTGTGTTTTTTATTTTGTTTGACAAAAAGTTATAATTTAAGACAAAAATTAGAGTAATTTGTTCGTACAAATTAAAAACCGATATAAATTCGGAAGTTGGATTATTTTCTAAAAATTTCTCTCAAAGTACTATAAAAGCTTTATTTGACGTAAATCCGAAAACTTGCCGAAATGGATTTACGTATTAGTGATGAATTATTAGGCGTGGTTTTTTTTGTTTGACAAAAAGTAATAACCGTATCAAACGCTGTCCAACCCAATTTTTATTTTTTATCCTTGACATAAAATGTTTAAAATTCTTTAATTAAAATTTTGGTTTCTTCTTTAAATCTAAATGCTAGATTCCGTGTCATTATTTAATCCCTCTTCCTTTCTCCTACCAAAATCAAACTTCCCTTACCTATTTAAATATATTTTCTAATCTTTTAAAGGTTTTACAATAAAATATTTGTACCAATTGTTGAGGATTATGTTAAGAAATTATATCCATCTGGGCCAGAAAGCAAAGAAGTAAAAATAAATATTTAATTAAATTTTTAATTAAAAAAATTTTTTAGAATGTTTTCCCATTAATTTCAATGCCAAAAACTCTAGTAAATCCTCTATCACCAAGAAAAGTTATTGGGGACAGAATTAATGTTATTCCTTTATCTCAATACTCTCAAACAATTGCTAGACATCGTTCAACAAGAAGATTTGATATTTACAAGTCCCCTTCGAAGGCTTGGATATTTTTAAAAAATAAATTTATTTACATTTTTAGGATTTGAGAACAATTAATGCAATGGTAAACAGAGGATTGCCTACATATGGAGGGCAGAAATTAGTCTATAACTATCAATGAACGATTAACTTTTGAGAAACTTCTGCCGTTGGTAAATTATTAAAAATTTGTCTTGTATCAATACATAAAAATGGCAGCAAAATATTTTTATTTTTGGAGGGGGGTTTGCTAGGAGATAATTGCTGATAAAATATTTATAATTCAATCCTTTATTTTTCTGGATTTCTCAACGGCAGAAGCTTTATGCATTATCCTATTTTGTATAATTTTTTAACTCATCAAAAGCCAAATAATAATTTTTTAATTAATAATTCTTTTCATTTTTTATATTTTTTGTTTACTTGTTGGTTATCTTCACATAAATTTATAATTAATTGGAAGATTGCTCCCACTATTTTTTGCAACTAAAAATACCAAAAAATAATTAAAAATTTGGAGATAACCAACAAATACCCCTATTATTTATACCCAATTTTTAACAAAATCCACAAGATCTTTCACAAAATAATTTCATAAATTTAGATCCATCATCACATTCTCCATTTCTCGCCCAATAACTACAAAAATGATTTTTGTCGGTACATTTAGGTTTTGGAGAATCTAAAATTTATTTATTTTTTACTTCAAAAATTATTTTTTTAACCAATTTCTGAACGTTCTTCTCTGTCACAAAAACCACAAGATTTTCGGCAATAATGATTCATATATTTTGTTGAGTGCATACAATGCCCTAATTTTTCCCACATTTCACAATGAGCATTTAAATCAACACATTCATTGCTTATTTTCTCTTCTATTTTTGTCATTCCTTTATTTTTTCGGCCGAAAGCTAAAAAATAATTTAAAATTTTTGTCATTAAATTTGGATTAATCAGTTGTTGGGCTAGGACTGAAAGCAGTTTTTGGGCTAGGACTTTTCAATTCTTCGAATAATAGAATGAAGTTTATTGGCTAAGCTTCTCGAATGACCTAATAGCAGAAGGGAACCTTCTGAAATTCCCGTTCCCCGAACACGAATTCCCCGCAACCCCCGTTCTCCGTAAACTCAGCCCCGCCCCGTAATATCGAGCCCTAGTTAAGACTTTTCAATTTGATTTTTTAAACCTACACTTTCTATCCCCATCAGTTCTCCCACGTGTTGACCAAATTGAGAGTGTAATAAATTTCCTTGCTATACCACCAGGTAATAATTCAATTTCTTTAGAACGTGGCCCTTGTCTTTCCCTTGCTCCAGTTCGAATTTTTTGTTTTTCATTACTTTTTGTTTTTGTACTAGTATATTCTTCTTCTGTTTCTTCATTTGTTCCTTCTGTAGTTGTTTCCTCTTCAAGTTCATCTACAGTAACTGCTGTTTCTTCACTAGTTGGAGATATTGTTGTAGATGGTGGAGAACTGTCTGTTGTAGTTTCTGTTAATTTTTTAGATTAGTTTTAAGGAAATGAAAAAAACTTTGCTGAATTTAAGTTCCATCCCCTCCAATCCCTCTAATTTTTAATTTAATTTCTACCTGTTTCATCTGTTGACTGCTCATCACTTTCCTCTGTAGTTGTTTCTATTGTTGTTGCTTCTGTTGTTTTAGTTGTTGTTTCTGCTGTAGTAGTTTCAACTTTTTTTGCATCAGAGCATCGATAAAGTTTGTTGACCATAAACAAGAAATTTCGTTATTTTTTTTTAAATAAAATTTTCTAACCTTTTGTGAGTCAATCTCGCTCAATTTGTATCTACATACAAATAATTTTTTTTATTAACAACAAATTATTTTTAAAAACATACCTCTGTCCAATTTCAGCGTCTCCTTTCTTCTAAAATAAAAAAATATTTAATGGAACTAATAATTCCCAAATATATCCTGCTCGGATTTTAATTAAATCTAGATATTAGTTACATAATATGTATGTATTCTTAAGTGCCACCTAATAAATCATGAAAACTTAATAAATCACTAAAAACATTTAAAAAATATGAATTCATTTACCGGTACAATTGTTGGCCTTCCATTACGAGAGAATGCCAATTTATGATAATGCATCACAGAATCATAATCATAGGGCATAGTTAATGGATCTATAATTTTTCGAGGATATTTTTCAAAGTTGCGCAACATTCCGGGACGAATATTTTCCTCTTGTATTTCAACAAAATCGTCTCGATCAGTACGAGAATGTTCGTGAAAGAATCCAAGTGCATGCATTAACTAAAGTTTTTAAAAATTATAATGTAGAAACTATTAGAATTTGTAGAATCCGGCTTAATTAGATTTATTGTCGATTTAACAATCGAGGATCTATCAATCGAGGCGGTCTCTAATTCCTAAAGCAAATATCAAGGTATTAAATGATTTTACAGAGGGAGAAAATAAAATTTGAATTCATTCTGCTTTGCTTCAAATTAATGCTTATATCCGTATATGTTTCTTTTTAAGATGTATATAAAATATATCCTTATATGTTTCTAGAGTGAATATTTTAAATAGAAAATTTATTTAAAAAAGTCAAAAAACACACAGCTTATAATTTTTATTTCTTCTCTAAATACTTTTATTTTTAATCTAACTGTAATTTAAACTTTCCCAACAATTTCAGTCAAACAAAATTAAAAAAAACCTCATGAGCAATAATTCCTTTAGAAAAGCATTTGTCTACTTCTAAGGAAACTGTTTGGTTTCCCCCTGCACGGCCAACATAAGAAGAACAACTTTTTAGTTAAAATAATTTTAAATTAATTTCATATATTTACCCAAAAGCATTATTTCTTTTAATATAAATAAAATCTGGATCGGTTTCCTGTCTAGGCACAAATCGAATACAAGTTTTGCCTTTATATTCATCAAAGGCACTAGCTATTGAAGCACGTTGACTTTAAAAAATTAAATGAATTTTTATTCATCCATAATACATAATAAACATCCTATTTTTCATTAAACTTATTCTAAAATATCCAAAAAATCAAAGATTATTCAATTAATTCAAAACTCTTTAGTAAAATCTCTCAATCCGAATATTTCCCCATTTTTTATTGTACCATTCTTCTCAAGTGGAATTTTCTTTTAGAAATTCTCTAGATCACAGACATTTTCCATTAAATAAAAATCAAGAGACTTACAGTAGTCGACAAAAAGATAGGGACAAACGCAAGTAAAATGAAAATTACCTATTATCTCAGCTAAAATTATAATAAAATATTTTTAAAAACTTTAGTTAATGCATGCACTTGGATTCTAATCAAACAAAAAATTTTTCCTGAAATCGATTTTTAGGTGAGAAAATAGGTGATTTCCATTTCACTTGCGTTTGTCCCTATCTTTTTGTCGACTACTGTAAAATCCTTAATTTAATTTAAAAAAGGACACACGTTGGACTCATTCCCTGTTCAAGTACATAAGGGACTTTAGCATCTGCCCAAAGTTTGTCTGCATAAGTTTGTGTATTTAAAGCACTGTAATACTATTTTAAATAATAAAATAATAATTATTTAAATATTTTTAATTTTACTGGAGTTCCAAACAAAGCTTTTTCTTCATCATTTCCATTTTTTATTAAATCAGAATTAAATATTCTTTCCTCATTTAGTAATCCTCCACTAACTGGGTCAATCCCCAAAATATCCCCTTTAAAGTTTTATTTCTTTAAAATTTTATTTTAAAATTACCTTCAAATAATTCTTTATTTAAAATAGCATCTAATTCATAAGCATTTGGCTTTTTTACTTAAAAAAGTAAAAAATAGTTGAGGAATGTCTATAGTTTAATCTAGTTTAAGTCTAATCTCGCTATAATTATTTGGGGCTGTAAAAATCGTGTTTCTAATGAGATGTTGATTAAATAGGGTATCATTTAGAAAGCTTCCCTCCTTGTCTGTCAGCTTCCCCCCAAACAAAATAAAAATTCTATTTTAAATCGAGGAGTACCTAATCGAGGATGCTAACTCAAAATCTTACAGGTCCAAAAGGGAGGAGGGATTGAATTTAATGAATATTCTTAGAAAGACTTATCTAAGTATAATTTTTATTAAGTTAATATTCTTATAAAAGCTTATAAAGTTTTATTAATTTTTGTCAAAATTCTATCAGAATTAACTCACTCGGCGTTTTAGATGCTAACTCAAAGTCTTCAGGTAAAAGATATTGTTCGGCGAAACCTTTTTTGAAATTTTTAATTAATTATTTTCAATTTTCTATATTTAAAATTATAAATTAAATTTTGAAAAAATAGTAGTTGTTAGAGGTCGGACAAACGCAAACTCAAATATCAGATCAAACTATTTGATATTTGAAAATAACGCATCAAACAAGTATTTGATCAAATAAAATCAAATAAAATCCGATCTCTACTAAATGTGTTAAAATTCAATTCCCCTTATTATTTTTTGGAAGTACGTGATGTCCGAAATTTCATAGACATTTTACTTTAACAAGTCTCCGACGGCTTAATTCTCTATCGGCATATCTTATTTTTAATGCTTACATATTTGATTAAACCATAAAAACTGAAGTTTAAAAATCTAAAGACCCTAACTTCGAAGGGAAAATTTAAAAAAAACATCCATAAAAACTAACTATCATATTCTTGTCTTCGAATATTATAAAGCCTCAATTCTGGCATTGAAATAGTACTGGCAGACAAAATTTGTTGTAAAATTGAAGAAAAAATGATTAAAATAAAGTAAAATTTTTTAGAATAATTTAAAGAAAAGAGGACCCGTTGAATTAAATTTTGTAAATAAATGAATTTCGAGGACATTCCCAACTAAAATATAATAAATTAAAATTTTTGGGAAATTATTTTGGGTAAATAATTTTGGGTAATAATTTTCTCTTATTTGAGTTAAGATATAATAATCTGATAGAAATTTTCCTTATACTTTAAATCTTGTAAGATGGAACGTTAGGAGGAAATGCGAATATTTTTGTTGAGGTTGAAGGAAATTTTATTTTGTGGAGTTGTTTCTGATAAGATGAGATCAAAAATAGTAAGTTAGGTTAATTTAAAATGTTAAGTAAAATTTAAAAACAGAAAATAAATCTAAAAAGAATAAAATGGGGTACACCCCTATGTACCTCATTTGTCAGAGATATAATTTCATTCAAACTTATCGAATCCGGGACCCCTATATGGTTCGATTGAGCTCGTCGAGGTGTATCGAACCATACAAGGACGTCCCGGATTCGATAATTCTGAAAGAAGTTATATGTAGAAAAGGCGGATGAAGGGATAGAAGTACATGCTGCTCCCACTGAAATGTTAGCTGCCGGCTAAAAATTGAAAATTCTTAGAAGCTATATTGTTAATTTTTTAAAAGATTTTTGAAAAAAAAAGAAAATATTTATACTTATTTAATTAATTATTGAAGAATTATTTTAGTTAAAATTATTTTCCTCAATTGCCATCGAAAGAGAAAGTATTTTTCCTTTCATTTACTACTTGCTTTAAAAATCCTTTGCGCATTTTATAAAAAAATTAACAAAAGATTACAAATAAATAAATATTTAAAAATAGTCCCAGTCAATTCCTTCTCTTTTTTTATATAACAAAAGAAAGGAAAGGGCGGATGAAGGGATAGCTTGACCAAATAGCGGGAACAAAAATAGATTTTGTATATTTTTGAGAGAAAAATGTCCTTAGATTTTGAGGGAAAATTTTCTTTGACTAAAAATTAGCGAGAAACAAGTAAATAAATAAATAAATTTTCGTTGGGATAGTTTTAACTAGTTATTAATTATTTTATTTTTAAATACATATGTAGGTATGTAAAAGTGAAAAGACTAGAATTTAAAATAAAGGGGAAATTGTAAAAAAATAAAATTCAAATTTCATAAAACGATCTCTAAACAATTTCTATTTTTAAAAGAATTATTTTAAAAACAGAGACGAGATCTCGAAAAAATTTTGATTATTGAAATTTTATTTTACGAGAATCGATCTCAATTCTCGTATGCCCTCCCGGTCTGATCTCTAGTTTTAACCAGACCTGGTCATGCATACGGATATTGATACAGATAATATTAAGATGCCTGCGGATATCCGCCTGTATCCGCCGTAAATATCCGGATACGGATACCAAAATTAGTATGGCCAAGTCTGGTTTCAACTAACTGTTTCGAAATTTTGGTTTTAGTCTTACGGTATTGTCTCTTTCGATTTCAAATTTTTAAAGATTTTTTGTTTAAAAACAGCTCTAGTTGAAATCAAAATAATTTTTTGATAACACTTTTATTTTAATTCTTCCCCCGTTTTATTCAATCATTATTTTAATTAAATCTCAAAAATTTATTTTTTAATTTCAAAGCTATAAATAATTTTGACAAATTTTTTTTATTATTTTTTTTTCAACTTTTCTGCCAACATCCAAGCATATATAAATGCTCTCCATTTTCCAATTTTTCCCTATTTGGTGCAAAAACTTTTCTAAAATTATTTCCAAATATTCTAATCCAAAAGGGAGCCTAAATAATTTTTTTAAAAAATTAAAAGAATTTTTTAAATTTAAACAAACCCTTTCCAATAACAATTCATATCTTGAAGAAGTCTTTTTAATTCCTCGAAGAATTTGTTTATTTATTTTTGTTAGAGGAGAAATTAATTTTAATTTTGAATTTTCTGCATATTCTAATGTTAATTTTAGCTTTAAATTGATTAAAAATTAATTTTGAAAGAATAAAAAATCTTCTCACTCCTTTGGATGTTCTAATGTCTGTCCAACATAAATAACCTCCTTTTTTGAGAACTCTAAATTTTTATGATTAAGAATACTGTTAGGAGTGTACACATTAATTTTCTAATAAAATTTATTTATCTCCTTCCCAATGGGTAAAAACCTTTTTAAATCCTCTAAAGGTATTAGAGTAACCCTTGATCTAAAATATAGTTTCTTGATCTAATAGACAAGAAGGAATGTGCCACCCTGAGTGGCACATTCCAGAAATCTATTATTAATGTCAGCAAAATAAGCTTTTATGTCAGCCACTCTTTCAACTCCATAAAATCAGTCCTTAAAATAAATTTAAAAATTTACCGGCTAACTTCATGAAAGAATTCTATTTCTCCTTCCCCATAACAATGGCTACTTTCCACGTTAATTATTATATCAAAAGAACAATCAGCAAAAGGCAATTTCTCTGCCATACCAGAAATAACATTAATACCCAAAGAAAGGCTGTCAGAAGGTGGTGGATGTCTGTCCAATCCATATAGAGAACCGATTTCTGGGTGAGCTCTTTAAAAGGATATTATTAAAAAAAATAAAAAGTAAGAATCCATTTTCTTATTTTTTAAGAAAACTTTCTAGTTCCCATTCAGATTATTAAAATCGTCAATTAGTGGGAATTGTCAATCATTAACCTCTCATAATATTTTTTTCAAAAAAAATTCACAAATCATCAATACTTACACTTTTATCCAATTCAATCCACCACCAGGACCACATCCAACTTCTAAAAGTTTTAAACTCTTCAATGATTCATATAAAGGACATTGAGCTAATGTTATCTCATAAAGTAAACAATGAGCATGTAATGCGTCTCCTTCTATTCCTTTTGGGAAATTTCCAACTGATTGGACAAATTTTGTTAGGGAATTAGGTTGTGAACTGAAATATTGTTTTTTTCGTAGGTAACAATTTTTAAAAACTTAAAAGTAAATAAAATCCTTATCTTTTTCCTTTATTTTTATGATTAAATTGGGTGAGGGTGAATAAATTGAGTGATTTTAAATTAAGGTGTTAAGCCTCTGATTTCATTTAAGGATATTATGATTGTAAAACAATTAAGGAATAATGTAGGAAAAATAACTAGTTTCTATTAAAGTTTTTAAGAATTAGTTTTTAATGACTTTGTTAGCAAAATTTAGAGATGGAAGAATCTACTATTATATTTCAGTTTGCTATCCTACTACCTTTAATCTACTTTCTATATACCCAAACTCCATGAGATAGGAGAGATTAAACAAAAATAAAATCTTTTACAATTTATTATTATTATTTTCATCTTCATCCTCAACATAACCATGATTAAAAAAATAAATATCAAAAATTCCTTCTTTTTGTAAAAGTCCAAGTAGTGGATAAAGCAATAAATTATTAAATAAATTAATCCATAAAGAACAAATTAATTTAAAAATTTTCTTAAAATAAATAAATAAGCTCATTTAATTGAAAAGAAATAATTTCTTTTCGTAAAGAAGTTGTGATGGAAATTAATTAAAAATAAAAATGACTATTTTTTGTTGCGGTGATTTTATATTTAATTTATATGTATTTATTGATGTAAAAAATGAATCGGAATTTATTGAAGAAATTGAGAGGGAGAGAGTAAAGAATTAATTAACTTTTTTAAATTTTTTTAAATTTTTTTAGTGAAGAAAATGTAATTTAAAATTATTACCCACATCTATATTTATACATTTTGTTCCACTCCATTTTTGGATTTGTAATTTGATTCAAAAATAGATTATAATTCAGGAAATATTTCCATTCCCTTTTTGATCAATTTATACATATAATTAAATACGAGAAGTTTAACTTTACAAACTTAGAAGGTATAGAAGGAAAATTTATTTTTAGTAAACGCCCTTCCGTATAAACCTTATGATTAAATTAATTTCTAATAAATTAATAAAATAATATTTTTTCTCAATTAATGAAAAATATTTTGAATATTCGTAATAGAGATGTCCGAGACCGAAATTTTTCCAAGACTCAAGACTCAAGACCCAAGACAAAATTTTTTCCAAGACCAAGACACAAGACCAAGACCAAAACTCCAAGACTCAAGACCAAAAATCAAGACCAAATTTTTAAATCCCATAGGTCAAATTTTTGGTTTATTTTTTGTTATTTTGATACGATCACAGTCAACTTCAGCACAATTATCTATAATTTCGAAAAATTTATGCGAAATTCAAAGAATTTAGGGGAATTTATTCTGTGGAAAATCAATAAAATAGGTTATTATTTCAGAGGGTTTGGGTGGATTAACGGGATATTAGTGATATCAAAAGATTAAGAGGGATAGCCGTGGGATTTAGCGCCGCAGGCGAAAATTTTGAGGATTATGAAAGCAAAGAAGCCAAAAATCTTCCTTTTCCTGCGCCGCAGGCAAAAATTTTGAAAATTTTGGAAGGCCGTAGGCCAAAAAAATTCACATTTTCAGCGCCGCAGGCGAAAATTTTTTGAATTTTGGAGCTCAAGAAGCCAGATTTCTTCCATTTTCTGCGCCGCAGGCGAAAATTTTGAGGATTTTGGATGGCCAAGCACTAGGTCCAAAAAGGCCAAAAAACCAAGACCAAAAAATAAAACCAAGACAAACACCCCAAGACCAAGACCAAGACCAAGACCGAAAAAAAACCAAGAAAAGTCTTGGTTCCAAGACCAAGACCAAGAGTCTCGGACATCTCTAATTCGTAATATTGTTTTTTCAATCATAAATTGCTAAAAATATTCTCGAATTACATAGCTTTTTTTGTAGTAAAGTTTAGGGGAAAGGGAGAGGGAAGATTGGAATCATAAATAATTAAATCTTGTGTTTTTATATATAGCTCAAAAATATTTGTTAAGGATTTACAAAATCTAAACACTTTCAAATATCTGAACACCCAAGAAACTCCTAGATCTATGAAATGACAATTTTGGATATTCTTCAGCATTTATTTTTCCATCTAAGTACTTTTACTTACAAATTTCATTTTTACTTTTTTTTATTTATTTTTTGTAAAATAAATAATTGTTTGTTTGTTTCCTTGACAACATAAAA